GTGTAAAGGAAACAAAATTTTTTTTTTTTTCCTTTTTTCTTTTTAGAAATCCAGGGCAAAACAACCCGCCATGTTTTGCTAACTCAAAACAGAAAGAATATTTTAATACTAAAAGTACTGTTTTAACTTCTGGCCATGCTGGGTATGGTGCTGGTTAAAATCTTAGTAAAACTATTAAATAAATCGGGGGTTCACATTCATGTCAAGATTCAGGACAGTTCTCTTCTGTCTCCTCCTTTTCCTACAGCCCCCTGTACTCTGCAGTGGCACGCTGCAGAGCTTTCTGCTCCCACAGCGTAGCACACAGCTGCCTCTGCTCCCTCTCGCATTGCTGTTGATAGGAAAGCCCACCATACAGTCCTGGTGTCGGAAATCATCTCACTGAATCTCTACCTCCTCGTCCCTGATCTGATGCAAACAGCACACCTTTATTCTCACGCTGCCTCTCTTTCATTACTTCGTGGCTAGTGTCGATAATGTTGTTTTTGCATTATTTAGCTCTGTAAAGTGTAGTGAGCTGCTATTAGCATGAAAGGTGCTGCTTCAGATAGATGTAAATGTGCATGGTACATAGTTTCCAGCAATACTTTTTATCAAATTTATGGATACAGCTGGCCGAGACGACTGTGCTCGTTTTCAGCCGTATTACAAAAGGCTGTTACACAGTTTTCTGAAGCAGCGTCTAATCTGAAGAAAGCTGGAAGGTGTCATGTCACCACAGACTTGCGGTCTAGCGGTCAATCAATTACATGTCTTTCACAGCATTTTGGGCAGCTTTCCAATACTAACAGCTTTAGTCTGCCCAGCTCCCAAAGAAGTACAATCAGGAAACTTGCATCTTAGTGCACTAGAGAGTTTTTTTAAAAGACCCACGGTAATCACCTAGTGCAGGGGATGCTTTACCAATTTTGGGCTGTGGCATGCTTCCAAGTTTTTACTCTGGGGTTATTTTCTCTGAGACGCTAGCATAGGCTGTGCAGTGCGCGATGCAGATCGTAACACTTAGCAGAGCGTACATACTTGCCTAAGGATTAGGTCCCTGAACACATGGATTACATGTATGATAACGTGGAATAACTTATTTCAATTTCAGGAGTAAGTGCTTATTCAAAGCATGCAGTGCCATTGCTATCATTAGTTAATTATGATCTTTATTCATACTTCATATGTTTTGTTATAAGATGTAATTGTTCACGCTACGTTAAAACAGAAGTAGGCCTAGCACTAACAAACTGGGTTCATAGGTTAGATGTGGTGATTGCAAAACTTACTGCAGGATGTTCTGGCTCCTCTGTAGGTGAAGGATCTTCTGACTTCCCTGCCTGACGGTTGCTTGTCGCTACAGATGTAGAACCAATCTAGAATAAAACAGATGACATATCCTCTGGTCAAAACAGAAGAAATGCCCACTTACAGTCCTGTTTGAATGCTTAGTTAAAGGGGAAATATGATATTGGGGGACATTAGGCCACTCGTGGAAGACCCAAATTTGTGGTCTTTTGGCTGGGGCAAACTTTTTCAGTAACTTTGGAGACCCAGATCTGGGTTTGCCTTAGCATAGACTTCCTTTGTGCTACTGGATGAATCACATAGCTTTCCTGTGCTTCGATCTCCCATTTCTGACGTGCGTTTTATAACACTACCGTAACTATATTGAGGGAAGATGTACATAAAATATGTATTTTATACACACGCTCATCTGTAAATATCTCACAATTTTATAAGTCCCTTAAACAGATGGATGTGCCTTAAGTGACTCCAGTTGTTTTCCACGTGAATTCTTTCCCATCCTCTTTGCCACTGAGGGAACATTTTAATTTTCCTGTGTATTTACTGGATGCCTGATCTGTGCTTATTCCAAAAGGCAAGTTTGGAGGTTTCTTCAGAGTGACTATTCCTTGGTGGGAAGAGGTGAGGCTTATTGTGGGCGAGCTTGAGGAGGGAGTGGTAGGGAAGGTGGTATGTCTTACTCAAAATTAGTATTTCCTTTGATCAGACATGTCAATCCTGAGACATCAAAGTCTAAATAATCAAGAAAAACCTCATACTATTCAAACAATGCTTAATCCTTGCTGAAACATACCACTGTTCACACCTATTGATAAGCTGATCTGGTCGTTCCTTTATGTATGCAGCCGTCAAAGTCCTCTGGGAAGAAACTAGTAAGGGAGAGTCAGAAGCAGTTCATGGCGCTGGTTCCAGCTGGCGGTGGAAGCCCTTCTGCTGTCCTGACCAGCAAAGGCAGGGACGGGCTTCCAGTGAATGTGTCAGATATACAGGAACCCGTTCACGATCTGGTATTTAGGACCTCTGGTTTAATGCCTGTGTGGAGGTGGTAACACAAGCTTTACTTGTATAAAAGCCAGATGAAGTCCTTTAAAACAAGATGGTGTTTTTTTTCTCAGACTGTCCCCAAGCAGGATCTGCCAGGCTGGTCCTGGCAGCCCTTTCGCCAGGGAGCAAGGAGCTGAAGTGCTTCCTGTAAGGAAGGCAGAGCTTAGCCGCAGCACTACCAAAGAAGTTAGAGTCTTCCAGTATCTGAAGCGAAAGGCAGTCTGTTAGCTCCACATTATTCAGCTGGGAAGTACAGTAATTTCAAGAATTATGTTTAAGAGTTCTGTTCAGCTGTGGGAATACAACATGCCAGTAACCATCAGGTCTGCTGCCGAACCAGATGACGGGGCAGGGCTGGATGCTGGCCACCGCATTTCCACAGTTACCTCACTGTTTAATGATTGTTTCGCTGGAACGCGGGACATGTTAGAGGGGAAGAGAAAGGCAGAGCCCTGGAAAAATCATTTGCATCGTGGCTTCCTCATGAAGTGAAGAAGGTTGTTAAAGAAATTTTTAAGACTCAAGACGTGAATCTGCCAAAGTAGCCAAGTGTTAAAGCAACGCGCTGCTGCCTCCCTGGTGCCGGGGCAGTTCTGCGCAGGTGATGGGATTAGTGCTCTGCAGTGGCATGTGGGCTGTGCTCCCTAACGCAACTCTGCTGCCGCGGAGGAGATGGAGACAGTGTACAAATCCACCAGAACTGGCTGGAAGGTTTCTTTAACACCCCACACACCCCCCTGGATATTTTTCAGGAATACCCACAAAAAACTGCATTAGCTTCCTCCCCCCCCAACTTTTCAAAACATTCAAACCCACCTGCTTTAATACTTGTTCTGCTAGGTATAAAAGCGTCAAATCATAGCCATGTAAGAAGGCTTTAATGAAGACATTCAACTTTAATTACTGAAAGGGTCTTGAGAGCAATGTCGTAATTGTTTCTTGATTGTTCTAATTGATTTGCCTTCTTAAAAAGTCATAATAGGGAAAGTAAACAGTGGCGCTAGCATGTCCTTGTCTTTCAAACCCTGAATCATCAGTCCCTGAAAGTGGTCTCACAGGACTGGAAATTTGTTCCTTGTAATCCTGTCTGAGGTCTCAGTCTGAAGGCTTGCAGGGAAATAGCCTTTACTTCATTTTTCAGCCCTCTTCTGGATATCTGATTCTCACTGATGCCAAGTGTAAGCAAATTCAAATAAAATCAGTCGGAGTTTATTCATGTTTCTCTGTATCAGGTCCAAGTCTATTTATTATTCAACCTGCAGGAAAGATAATGATCGCAAACTGACGCGAAAATTGTAAACCAAATTTTCAGGTGGAGTATGTTGGTGCAGCTCCCCTGTGTTGGAGCTCCGAGCATGCGGTCAGTGGAGCTCTGCCAGTTTACACTGGCAGGGAATTGGGCTTTGTTATCATCCCCAAATCTGTAGGAGTAATTCGGTAATCCAGGATTACGTTGACATTTTTTATGAGTTTAATAGACGTTAATATTTGATTGACAACTTCAAATTGACATGTTAGAAGAAAAATGCACAAACCAAAAACATCTGCATCGAATTACAATGTAACTGTTGTATTTTTTGTCATTAATTGGTTATGAAAACCAGACTTGTAAGATAACTTCCTCAAACTTTGTGTTCATAACTTTTTCACCCTTTGGATAAAACAAAGATGATGATCTTGGAGGTAGCAAGGTTCATATACGTCTGTAGATGCACAACATACCAATCCTATTCTGATCTCTAAAAAAAAAATTGTTGTTCAGATGGCTTTTTGTAGTGTTCTACTGTTGTCTGTTGTATAGTTTTGTAGTGTTGTGCAACGGCCACTTGATTGAGACTGAAGTTAGTACATTGTGAGGATTTAGTTGTCTTTAACAGTACACGCACTTACTTTTGTCTTAATGGAAGTTCATAGACCTAAGTAGCATCACTGTGTCATAAAGGACATTTTGTTTGAGCTTGTATCTGCAGTTAGGAACAAGCTGGTGTAAGAGGACAGGATAATAGATCATGTTCACACAGTCCCCCAAATACTACAGGTCCATCCAGTCTATCTTTGTTGTACGTTTTTTGTCCAATCAGAGAACTGTTCACTGCAGAATTTCACATTTTAGAGGATTAACATAATGATTTTCAATGATGGAAGATTTCTGTTTTGCTAGTGTTAAAAGTCCAAAGAAAAAAATGATTCATGGCAGGCGCTGTGAATAGCAATTGGCATCCTAGGCCTTCTGCAAAATTCATAGCAGTTTTGTTTATTGCTGTTTTCTAAAACTCACTAGAGAATTTCTGTTGTATAACACTTCATGTTTGATACTGTTTAAAACAATGTCATGTAGCTAGCACTAGAGAGAGGCAACATAAAGGTGCAGTCCTAAGATTCAGTCGCCCTCAAGCACTGGAAAAGTCAAGAATTTGACTACTGGAAACATGGAGTATTTTACATAACACATCACATATGACTAGGTCAAGTAGTTCTAGGAACCAGTATTACGTATAAATATCTTCTGTTGCTGTTAAGTGTCTCACTGTAGATCTCAATAAAAAAATAGGCATAAATCTTGCAGGGTGGGTTTCGCAGAGAAGCGCTGCTGGAGAACGGTGGGGTGGCTGGAGCGCGGAGGCTGTGAGCTGCTGACTTTGCTCCTGCAAAGTTGTTCTAAACATTTTTCTCTAAACTACATGGGGGGAAAAAAATAAGGAATCAACCCAACAAACGTGGATAGAAGTATTATCTATCCTACTTAATGTTTTGAATATGTTTATCTGTTCTTTGTAGGGTGAAGAAACTAAAGCACTGACTCTGGTCCTTCATCGTGACTCTGGCTCTCTTGGATTTAATATTATTGGTGGCCGACCATGCGTGGTATGTTAATTGTTAAAATATGTTTGCCCTTTCCAGTTGGGAAAAGCATGTAGGTCAACACTTAGAGTAAAAATGCTGCTGACAAGCATTTGGTTCTCTTGGGATTCTTTCACAGCAAATCTTGTATTCAGATTTGTATGGGATGTCTATTAACTGCACTGTCTTTTCTCTCACAATGTGTTTATTCTTGCATATCGTCACAGCTAGCAACAGTAATATTGGTGCAGTGTCACTCCCAAAATGGTGAAAGCCGTGGTGTATCTTTCTCAGACCATACTGCTTTGAAGACATTGCATGAGTTCAGGGCCCGCAGCTTTAGGCCCTTTACAGTTCATTAAGAAAACCTTTCCACCAGAGATTAAGCAGCCCTCTGTGCAGGTGAAGGGATGTAACTTAAACAACCTACTTTTGAATTCTATGATTTCAGCAGATGTTTCCTGCACCATACACTCACTAATGTATTTTTTCTGGATGCTTGTTGGCTGGAGCTGCTGCATATGACTTTAATTACATCAAGGAGTAGATTATACCTTGTCCTAGTAATTTAGAAAGTATTCAGAACTACTTCTTGGCCGCTCAGAAATCTGACGTTAATCACGATTTATTCCTAGTAAATTCACTTGAAAGTTATTTTTTCTTTATAGTTAGAGTTTTTCAATTTTCCGAGACACTGTTCTGCACTGGTAGAAGCTGGTGACACAATACACTGGAATATGAAAATACCTTGTTAGGTATAAGTTGTTTTTCATGGTTTTATTTTTAAGCCTCCAGAGGAAGAGCTGTGCAACTAAAAATAAAAATGCACTGTTGTCTTACGTTTGATGTGCAAGCAGGCTGCCGTCTCACTGGATTTTACATTAAGAATAATTGTAATGACTATTACTACTGAGCTGGCCTAAGTGAGAGGAAAATTATCATCATGCAACTAATGTACCTAATGGAAGTCTGTTCCTGGTTGTTTAATCTTTCAAAATGGGAGTGTCCGGTGTTCTCATTAGCACAAAGTAATTCCATATGAAGACATCAGTAAGAATATTTCTTCCAAATTACACGCACTGTTGTGACATGGACAAGTTTTAGCTGAGGGCAAATTAGAGTTAGTTCAAGGTACAATAATGTATTTTTCTTTCCATCCTTAAAGGACAATCAAGATGGTTCATCTAGCGAAGGAATTTATGTATCAAAAATAGTTGACACGGGGCCTGCTGCTAAGGAAGGAGGGCTACAAATTCATGACAGGATTATTGAGGTATGTGACTACACCATCCAGTCTCTTTTAATAGTGCGAGTTCCATCTCAGGTCTTCAAATGGCATGATGTTTAGTGTGGGTTTAGGAGAAATGTACCATGGTAAACACTATCTAGAAGACATGTCTGTTAAAATATGCTTGACTTGATTCAGTGCTGACCTTCATGGCTTTAGGTATAGTTCTTACCTAAATATAGAAACCAGATTATGGATGGTATGTGCATGTCCTGACTTTCTGAGGAGCTAGCATCTATCTGGTATGCCGTAGATATTTCTTTTTAAAGCTATTGGAAACTTGTAAGTTATTTAGTTAAAACCATATGTGAAATATCTGTGGTGCAAACCATGATTTTATTTTTCTTGGTTTCTAAAACCACGTTTTGAACAGCTAGAAAAAGTTCTGCTCTGTAATTTCTGTATGGTTTATTATAAACCTAAGTAACTCCCTTAATGTTGTTTGTAAGTTCTTATATTACTCAGATTGCAGTCTGAATTTCTTCTCATTTTGCCAAAGTCTTGACCTCAATAAAAAGTCCTTCCTATGAAAGAGATGGTTGCTTGAAAAGTTTCTCGCAATTTGCAGTGAGCAAATTTCTTTTTTGGGGGAGGGGGGGAGAGAGAGAGAGAAAGGTTAGTTTTCATGAAACAAAATGCAGCTGACTGAGTCAGTTCCCATTGTTTAGCATTTTACAGTTAAGAAAACGTATTCTTCACTGTCTTATTTTTGTAGGCTGGAGAAACTTTGAGAGTCTATTGTTCAAAAAGATAAGTGCGGTGTTTGTTGCCAAGGATATCATGGAACAGCCAGTTTCTCTAAGTAATGGAATTCCATTGCTCTTATGTTTTGCAAATGAGCAATAAACAGCTGTTAAGGATTTTCTGTTGGCAGGGGACAATGTGTGTTTGCTATTTTCTGTACTGTTATGGTAAATTGTATTCACAATTTAGTAAGGATATAAAATATTAATTAAATTTCTTCATATGGGAAAGAATGGAGCCACAGTAGCAGAACTATAAAAAGATAAGAAGCTGAGCTGTGAAATGATCCAGAGTTGCTTAAACTATATATATGACGTAACATAATTGCGAAAAGGTCTGGACAATTTTGTGAGAACTGTGCGATTTCGTTTGAACTGAGAATTTTCCCATAAGCATGTATTTCCCCAAAGCATGTTTGAAAAGCTGACATCCGTTTCTGAAGTAGTACGTAGTCACATAAACCAAACAACTGTATGAAAACCAAAACTTTGGAAAATCAAATACCCCAAAGTTAGGAAATGTCCTAGTCGCTCTATGCAAGGCCGGTTCAGTCTCCTTGAGTGTAAGCACCGTAATTGCAGTCATACGGCATTTGTCTGCAGAAGTCACCCTCACTCACGGCACAGGGGACAAGGGCAGCTAACCTCCATGGGCTCTGCAGCATCTGCTCTCTGTTGCAAGGGACCTCCCTCCTTACTGCCTTTTTTTTTTTTTTATACTCCCTCCTTACTGCTCCATTTCTCCACAAGTTTAGCATTTGGCAACGCTAGCGCAGGCCGGGCTAAGCAACTAAATACCGTTATGCTGGACACACACTGAGAACCTGAGAAGAACACAGAGGAAGGCAGGCTGGGTGAGCTTTCCTGCTGTACTTCTTGGCTGCGTCTCCTCCCTGAGTGGAGTCATGCCTATGTGAGCAGTGTTTGTGCAGGGTCTTTTCCACAGTTCAAGTTACATTTTCACGTAAGAGAAAACCCCAGAATAAAGACATTAGGGCGATTTGTTGTATTTATAACACACCAAGGGTAGCAGGAACCCATGTGTTGACAACTCTTGTTGTGCTGACCACAAACTCATTTTCATATTCACTCTTCTCACCTCTAAATATATAGAAAGTGCTGATGAAAATGTAGCACATTGTTTCCCAGTAGTTGACTTTGGGTGCCTCCACATCAGCATGAGTTTGGAGTAGGAGTGTCCTGTTGAAGCAAGTCTCTGACTGGTGCCCAGCTAATGCGGTTCGATTCCCGTTGTGGAGTCATCTCCAAGTGTGCTAACTGGATTTTTTTTTAGATAAAACTAATTCATTTAATGCACCCCAGCCACTACAGGCATCCAGTTCACAGAACTAGACTCGAGTGCTCTAATACAGAACCCTCAAAATACATGTAGTGTGGACATCAGGTCCTGAAAGCAACCGTTTCATTCTGTATTCTCTGCAATTTATATTTAGTGGGCTATATCTAACCCTAGTCTGGGTTAAGGAAAAAAGGGCATACCTCCTGCATCAAGGCATCTGAGCGAGCTTTATCATACCAATATCCAATTATCTTAGATAATTGCAACATCCTGTAAGTGATCTAGATGAAAATTAGGTAATGTCCAGTGATAGTGTCCTTCTAGAGGCAGATTTTTTTATAACCTTCACACTGCCAAAGTTTTGATTTGGCAGTTTGGCTGAAAAATCATTTACGGATTTAGCTGTAACTGGCAGGACACAGCTGGAGGACTCAGATGGAACTTGGCATAGAGAGTAGAGCATGCTAGCAGGTCACATTTGCTTTCAAAAGCATGAAAGATGGTAGAGAAAGATGGTAACGGCTATCTAGAACTGAATTTAGCTATCTAGTACTTCTTTGACTTGTTCATTCAATATTAAGGTTCTATGTATCACCAGCATGATTTTAAATAGACTCTTTCACAATGAACTCTTATTCCAGTATAAGCTGCTGAGCATAACATCTCCAAAATTAATTCCAGCATCCATCACAGAGAATTTACAATGAAGTAAAACATAAATTATTTGATCTCCTTTTGGAAAATGTTCCTTTGCTGTGGATCTCCTGGTGGATGCATTCTGGAGCACACATAAGAGTGTCATTTCTCATTTTCAGAACTGTCACAACATTTCTAATTACTGAGCAGGGATTAGGCAGTGTAAAATATAGCCACATACATAGTACTGTTTATAGCTGGTAGCAAATGCATTATTATATTGATATTTGCTTGCAAATTCTATCCCCTGACAAATTGATCCAGAGAAACTTTGAATTATGTCAGAGATAATTTTTAAACATATTTTCCTTATGTAATTTGGATTTCCTGTTTATCATATTTTAGAAGGTTAAATGCAAAGAAGTTAATCAGGTTTAAGAATTGTCTTGATTTTTCTGTAAAAGCAATTTTTTGCCCCTTTGATATAATTGACATAAGTAATGCCACTATGAAGTACATGTTCCTACTGCTAAATGACATACATGAAGATGAATGTTGCGTGGTCTGTGCTACTCAGTCTTCAAAGCAGCATGTAACAAATACAGAGAAATACGCCTTTTCCCTTGTATTTTGTTTTACAGAATCTGTTTAATAACGATATTTAGTGCTTATATAGGACTATGAAGATCATGTTATGGCTATTAACTGCTTAATTATTAAACCGTGAGGGGAAATTATATTATCCTTATTTTGCAAATGGGTAATCTGAGGTATACAGGGAAATAACTTCTGGAAGTTCTTGTCAGATTAGGGTTAAAGACTTGGATCTTGGTCTGTTTGTAACTGCTCTGTGTAAACCAATGCTTCTTACTTATATCTGTTTTCAGATCTTTCACAATTATTTACTGCTTAATTATTAAACCGTGAGGGGAAATTATATTATCCTTATTTTGCAAATGGGTAATCTGAGGTATACAGGGAAATAACTTCTGGAAGTTCTTGTCAGATTAGGGTTAAAGACTTGGATCTTGGTCTGTTTGTAACTGCTCTGTGTAAACCAATGCTTCTTACTTATATCTGTTTTCAGATCTTTCACAATTATTTTGGAAGTGAGCAAGTAATGACACTGAGATTTTCTCTGGTTTGACTACATGTTTTTTATGCAGTTCTGTACTTATACATTCAAAGCAAGCAGCTGATTTAACGCAGTACTAGTGATTTACTGAATTATTGTTAAGATGTTCCATAGCAAATTGCCATGTTAAAAACATGCTGAAACTATTGATTTTTATGCAAAGGAATTACTGTTCTCATAGATTTCATTTTTGTCAGGGTAACAAAATGGTCCTAATTTCCTCTCTTAACAGAAGTTGGTTCAAGTCCCAGCCATGAATGCCTCCTCTACGCAGCTGCTTGGCATTTCTTAAGAAAAAATTAGATTTTCAGAGTTTTTATTTTTAAGCACATCAGCTCTGAAAGATTATAAATTAAATATGGCATTCTCTTCTCACTAATAGTAAACTTGTTTGTTTAGCTTTGGGACTGCTTAGAAAGAAGGAGGCTTTTGAAACGCTGACTGCTTGCCACCTTAAAAAATTTTAAGCACAATTAGGGTACTGTTGAGGTAGTATAAACTGTCACAGCTCCACTGAAACCTTGAGGATTTATGCCACCTGGGACTTGCCCAGTGTTTCATGCTGCTCACAGGAAGGATCATTAGTTTAGGAGTTGAGAACACGTCTTAGTGCATTTGATTGATTTTCCCCAAAGCACACTCATTTGCTACAAATTATAGGCTGCTTTTCTATTACATGGATTTATTCACAGATTACACATAAGAACAATGAAACTTTTTAGCAAATCTTCTTCTACTGTATATGTATAAGCAAAGTGTACAATTCCCTGTGGGTTCCCTGTTCACCCTATAGCACGTGTGCTGTTTTGGCAGAGCCACTTTCCGCTCGCATGAGGTGGCTAGGTGGCTTTCCGCAAAATGAATTTGGTAGCTGTGTTAGCAACATAGCCTCTGAAAAGTCAAATCGGCACGGAGAAGGTACATCAGCCACGCAGGAACGGCAAGAAGGGATGCGCTGGCAGGCACGTGGCATACCTTTCCTGTCAGTGACACGTACATGCTAAGAAAGATCCGCTGCTGAGGCAAGGACTGCTTTAAAATTGAGTGAATGAATAAATGAAGAAACATTTCATGTGGTCTGCTGGTGCGTGATGGGGTCTAGTTTTTCCACAAGACTGAGCCTCCGGGCTGAAAGGGTTCAGTGTATTGCCAGTCTGGTTTTCTCCGCAGT